TGGCTCAAGCCTGTAATCCCAGCACTTTGGGAGGCCGAGGCGGGTGGATCATCAGGTCAAGAGATCGAGACCATCCTGGTCAACATGGTGAAACCCCGTCTCTACTAAAAATACAAAACATTAGCTGGGCATGGTGGCGCGTGCCTGTAATCTCAGCTACTCAGGAGGTTGAGGCAGGAGAATTGCCCGAACCCAGGAGGCGGAGGTTGTGGTGAGCTGCGATCGCGCCATTGCACTCCAGCCTGGGTAACAAGAGCGAAACTCCGTCTCAAAAAAAAAAAAATAAACAAAAATAAAAAATAAAAGATACTGGATAATAGGCGATATTGTTGGTGGGTGCCTCCTGATGTAGCAAAAGGATAGAAAAGCGCACAGGGGTCAGGTACACTGGCTCACGCCTGTAATCCCAGCACTTTGGGAGGCCGAGGCGGATGGATCACCTGAAGTCAGGAGTTCGAGACCAGCCTGGCCAACATAGTGAAATCCCATCTCTATTAAAAATACAAAAATTAGCGGGACGTGGTGGCGCGTGCCTGTAATCCCAGCTACTCCGGAAGCTGGGGCAGGAGAATTGCTTGAACCCAGGAGGCAGAGGCTGCAGTGAGCCAAGATGGAGCCATTGCACTCCAGCCTAGGTGACAGAATGAGACTCCATCTCAAAAAAAGAAAAAAGTAAGATACAGGAGAACACGCATATGGTGACCACAGCCATAAAAGTTGTAAAAGAGCAAAATTAACGTTATTGTGTGTGAAGATGTTTAGGTAGCTGTCCCTGCAGAGGGAATAGCTCGTGCCAAGTCCTGGGGCAGGAGGCAGGAAGGTGCCTGGTGCGTTAGAACAGCGGGAAGGCTGGATGGAGGGTGTGAGCCAGGAGACGAGCTGAAGTCAGGGAGCTGACAGGGGCCTTGGGTGCCAAGGTGAGGACTTTGCTTTCACCTGGAGCGAGGTGCAGCCAGGGCAGGGCTCTGAGCCAGGAGGGTCGTTACCCGACTCAGGTGATCCCAGGCTCTCTCTGGCTGCAGGTGAGAACAGACAGTGGGGGTAGAGACGGGAGTGGGGAGATCAGGCAGGAGACTGCTGAAATGTCCAGGCAGGAGATGATGGAGGCTGGGCCAGGGTGTGGACAGTGGAAGAAGAAGAGTTTGGAATCCGGAGCGATTTGATTTTATACGTGGAGCCCACAGGGCTTGTGACAGATTGGATGTGGGTATGAAGGAAAGGAGAGGGTCAGGGAAGTTCTGAAGTTCTGGGTCTGCCATTCACCAAAATGGAGAAGTCAGGTGGGGTTCTTTTGCAGGAGGAAGGGAAGGGTTGATGGCGGGGGATGGGAAGGGAGATTTTTTTCAAAAGAGGCAGGAACAGCCTACCCTGGAGAAGGCTGGGGAGCCCCGGCCCCGGAGCTGTGAGGTGGGACTCACGTTTCTGTGTGGTTGGGCCAGGAGTCCGGGACACCATCTGAGTCTGACCTCTGGCAGAGTGGGGGATGCAGGTTCTGGAGTCAGAGCAGGATAGAATCCAACTCTCCCGCCTACTTGCCGGGTGACCCCAACAAGTCACTTCCCATCTTACAGGCCGGGCTTCTCCTTCCGTAAAAGGACTGATTTTGCCCGTTCCTGCGCTGTCCCCGGGAGAAAGCCCTTACCACCGAGTCAGTGGGACCCCCGCACTGGGGTGATGAGCCCAAGGTCTCCGCACAGATAACGCCAGGGAGGCTGGATTCTGACTTGGTACTTGGCCTGGTTAACCGGGACCGGGAAGCCCCTAGAAATGGGGTCACGGGACCTCCTGGGACCAGGAACTCGGGCTCAGAGACTGGGAGGGGAAAGGAGGAGGAGGCCAACCGGCCCCATCACTTCCCGCCAGTTTCGGGCCTCCTCCCCCATACACACACCTAGGTTTCCCAGAATCTTCAGTCCTCCCCACCTCCGCCCAGGCTCTCAGGTTCCTCCCTGGGGGGTTCAGGAGCTCCTGGCCTGGGGCATAGTAGTTGCTGGGGACCCTTTTCGGGGTACGAGGGGAGGGGGCTCCCCAGCCTGCAGCTGCCTCCACAGTGTTTGGTTTTAATAAAGTCTCTATGTCTCCTGCTCTGTCTCTCTGCCCCTCTCTTGCCCCTTCTCTGTCCAGTCCCTCTCTCCCCCGCCTCTCCCTCCTTCTAGGCCTCGGCGGCCCCTCCCTGCCTTCCCTCCGGGGCGGGGGGCGGCGCCGTGACGCGGCGGGGCGGGGGCAGGAAGGGGGTGTCGCTGACGCCGCGGCGGCCTCCGGCGGCTCCGGCCTTTTGTGCGGGCGGCTGGGTCTGGTGGGGGCGGCGGCCGCGGAAGGCCAGGCTGGTGCCCTCCGGGGACGCCCCGCGCAGCCCGGCCCTGCCCTGCCCTGCCCTGCCCTGCCCTGCGCCCGGGGCGCGCCCGCAGCGCCGCATCCATGTTCGAGTAAGGACCGGGCGGCCGAGGCTCGGGGACCGGGAGCGCTGGGGGCTCGGGAGGCGGGGGAGCGCGGCGGCTGCGGAAGTTGGGGTCCTCTGCACGTGGCCCGGGCCGGGACGATCGGGGTGGGGGCGGGGCAGGAGGGTCCCCGGGCAAGGGGTGCAGCTCGGGGGTGGGGCGCGGGCGCGGGCGCGGGGTAGGGCCCGAGGTCTGGGTCGCCACTGCCGACCCGCAACGCGCTGGGTTGCGGGGTTTGGCTGGGAGCCCCCGGGCTCATCTGGCAGGGAGGGCCTCCAGGACTGAGACCCCCTTGGCTGGGAGGTGAGGGGTGAGTGCGAGGCCGAACCGGGGGCTCCGGCCTGGGATGGAGGGAAGCTCGGGACCAGCCCAGGCCCACAGGCCGCGGAGCCCTGGGCGCGCCGGGAGCAGCTGCCTCCCGGCTGGGCCCCCTCCCACCGTCTCGCGGCTGCCGGGGTGGGGGCTTCCTGCGTCTCCCCAGACCGCCTGCTTCACATAATGGGGGACGGGGGCTCCTGTGTGTTCAGAATTGACTTCTTACTCTCCTTCCGGTCCAGGTGGGCGCGTGTGAATTGTCTTGCAAGTGTGTGTACATGTGTCTGGGGCTGCTAGCCTGCAGCAGCTTTGGGCCCCTGACGGGGTACCCTAACTTACCGTTAATTCTGACCGTGGCTCTGTGTGTTACTGTAAGTTACCTGTGTGTTTCTAGGCTCCAAGTCTGTGGCTGTGAGCTGCTGGTTGTGTGGTGTCGTGTGTCTCATTCCATCTGTGGCTCTCTGTGCAAATATAAATTACCCCTGTGTGTCTAAGTGTAACGTTGGAAGTGTGTGTACACGTGTCTGGAGCTATTGTGTGTAGCAATCTCCTTAGGCTGTGTGTTTTACCCACTAATTTCATCTGTGGCTCCAAGCATCGCCTGTAAGTTACCAGTGTGCATCTCATTGTGACTTAGTGGTGTGTGTACAGGTGTGCCTGGGGCTCTGTAGGTTCTGCCGTGACCCTCTGTGCCTGCATATGCCTGTAATTTAGCTCTGAAACGCTTTTTTTTGAGACACAGTCTGGCTCTGTTACCCAAGCTGGAGTGCAGTGGCACGATCTCGGCTCACTGCAACCTCCGCTTCTCAGGTTCAAGACATTCTCCTGCCTCAGCCTCAGCACCCACCACCACACCTGGCTAATTTTTTGTATTTTTAGTAGAGACAGGGTTTCACCATGTTGGCCAGGCTGATCTTGAACTCCTGACCTCAGATGATCTGCCCACCTCAGCCTTCCAAAGTGCTGGGATTACAGGCGTGAGCCACCGTGCCCGGCTTGGAACTCTTATTTAACTCTGTGTTACTGTAAGTTACCCGTGTGTGTCCATTCGTGACATTGTTGTGTGTCTAAGGCTCTGTGGGTGTGGCTGTAATTTACATCTGATTCCATCTTTGTGTGAACATTCCTTTGTGTACCCCTTTGTGACAGCGTTGAGTGGTGCCCAGGCCTCTCTTTGTAAAGCTGAATCCCTCTGTGGTTTTGTGTGTGTGCGAACAGCGTGAGACCCCTTGTGGCTCTCTGTGGGCCTGGGACCCTCCCTCCGAAGACTCTAAACTACCCAGGGTACTCTGGAGGCAATAATGGTAACTGCCGTTGTCCATCTGACAGTTAGTAAAGCATGTGCCACGCATTATTCCACTGCCTGGCAAGTGTGTCCTGGAGATCCACGCCCCCCTTGACGGCATTATTCCTAAGTCCTGCTTGGCTGTGTGAGCATCGGGGCTCCCCCCAGCCACAGCCACTGATACCTTCCACCCCTTGCCACTTTATTTTTTATTTATGTTTTTCTTGTTTTAGAAGCAGTCTTGCTCTGTTGCCCAGGCTGGAGTGCAGTGGTGTGATCTTGGCTTACTACAACCTCCACCTCCCGTGTTCAAGTAATTCTCCTGCCTCAGCCTCCTAAGTGGCTGGGATTACAGGGTGTGCCACCACGCCCGGCTAATTTTTGTATTTTTTGTAGAGATGGAATTTCACCATGTTGGTCAGACTGGTCTTGAACTTCCGACCTCAAGTGATCTGCTCGGCCTCCCAGAGTGCTGGGATTACAGGTGTCAGCCACCACACCCAGCCCCTTGCCACTTAGGAATTAGTCTTTGCTCTGCCTTCCCCACCAGATGGTGAGCCCTGTGCGGGCACAGGGACACTGAGTCGGGATGTGTTGGCTGATTATGGGACCTGGTTTACCTGGGACTGTGTATATGTCACCTGGGGTTCTTTGGGACCAGTCTTTCACAGTATGGCTCTCTGTAACTGTGAATGTTACTTGTCTTCGGCTATTTGCCGAGATTTCCTCGTGGCTATGTGTGCGAATATGATTTATCCAGACTGCCCTGTATCTGTGTGCACGAATGCATCTGGCTAACTTTTCTGGGAAATTGCCGTGTGACTGTAGCAGACTAGCAATCTGCAGGGGTGTGTGTGTGTGTGTGTGTGTGTGTGAGATTACTCTGTGGCTCTCTGACTGTAGCATTCCTGTGATGCTGTTGCTCTGTCCATGTGTGTGCATATGTGAGAGAGACGGAGAGAGAGGAAAGAGACTCCTTGCAATCGTGGGGAAATGCAGTTTGTCCCTGACACCTACTGTGTGACTCTCATTGAGTTTCCCTTTTAATGCACACTTGTGGATGCATCTGCCCTTTTCTGACCAGAGGCGGCTCAGGGTCGTTGGGACCTGGGAAGTTGAAGGTCAGGTGTCTGCAGTAGCAAAACTGCGGCACTTCTGAGTCTCCCCACCCCGTAACAGTCCTCCATGCTCTTCCCTTCTCTCTGCCTTCAGCCTGGTTGGGCGGCCCCAGGGCCCACCCTTGAGCACTTCCTCTTTGCCCAGCCCAGGAACAAAAACTGGGGGTGTGGTCCTTGCCCTGTCTGCCTGCCTTGAGCCTCTCCTCAGGCTTCCTGCCCCTAGACCTGCGGGTGCTGGGAAAGTAGGGCAGGTCTGCGTTTCAGGCTAGAGGGCTGAGAAGAGTAGGCTGGGGAGGATGTGGTCCCTGCTGCTTAAGAGTCCCTCCCTGCTCACTAGTGCCGTCTGGGTGAGGCCAGACTCCTGCCTGAGGCCCCCAGGCCTGTGCAGCTCTGCTGCTCCTCAGCCCCACGGGTCACCTCCCTCTTGCTCAGACCTGCCAGACTCAGTCCTGTCCCTGAACTTGATGTTCTGCACCTGGAACCGTCTTCTCCCAGCCTTTGCCACATCTGTTCTTTGTCCTCCGGGTTCAAATGGGGGCCGTGTTCAGGGAGGCTTTTGCTGACTCTTACTAAAGACGTGGGCTGGGCACAGTGGCTCATGCCTGTAATCCCAGCACTTTGGAAGGCCGAAGTGGGAGGATTGCCTGAGTTCAGGAGTTTGGGACCAGCCTGGGCAACATAGCAAGACCCCATTTCTACCAAAAAAAAAATATTAAAAATCAGCTAGGCATGGTGGTGCGAGACTGTAGTCCCAGCTACCTGGGAAGCTAAGGTTGGGGGATCACTTGAGCCCAAGAGTTTGAGCCTGGAGTGACCTGGGAGGCTGAGGCTTGAGAACTGCTTGAGCCCAGGGGTTCAGAGCTGCAGTTAACTATGATTTCACCACCGTACTGCAGCCTGGGCGACAGCCTGAGTGTAACCCTGGCTCTAAAAAGATGTTTAAAAGAAGGAAACCATCTCTGCCCGCCTACTTGTCCCATCTTTATCTGTGTGGTCCTCAAACTTGAACGTGAACCAGAATCTCTGGCTCCACCCCGGTTCCGACGCAGGAGGTTGGGAGTGGGTCCTGGCATCTGCCTTTCAGACACTTTCCAAGTCCTGCCTGCTGTTCTCTGGGTCCCATACTGAGCCGCACTGCTTTATGGCATTCACCAGTGTCTGGGGTCGCCATCCCTGTTCATTTGTTTTCTTACCGATGGTCTGTGTCTCCCTGTTACAGCGTCAGGTCCCTGCAGGTAGAGGCGTGCATCAGCTTTGCTCACTTCCTTTTGGCAGGTGCACAGTATTTAGAGGTGAAAGGCTGGAGTTGGGGGTCAGTCATGGAGGCTCCTAACACCAGGTGTAGGTGCTTGTGAGGTCCCCGTCAGGGTCAGCAGTGTCGTGGACAGCGGTACACTGGGCTGGCAGCTGGGCTGTACACTCCATGTTAGTCTGCCCAACCCTGCGGGAGGGAAAGCAGTGTCATCAAACCAGGTACCTTCCAGGTCCTGGGCTTTGTGGATCTCACCTTACCTACTCCTTCATGCAAACCTAGGAGGTGGGCACTGTTATTCCCATCATACCCAAGAGGAAACTGAGGCACAGGAGGGTTCAGACACTGGGTGAGGTTCACACGAAAAGGAAGCGGCAGCACTTGACTGGAAGCTCCTTGGATTGTGGGGCCCACACTCCAGGCTGCTACCCCCGAGACCTGGTGGTCCAAGGAGCCGTGCACCTGCTGGAACCCAAGTTCTATGAGGGGCGGGGAGGAGGGCCGATCACCCACATCCCCAGTGGCAAGTGCTCATGGAACACCTGTGTGCCAGGCCCACTCTAGGTGATGGGGACACATCCTATGGATGGGTGAGAAGGATAAAAACTAGAGGGAAATACTGAAGGTCCCAGGAAGCAGCAGGGAGATGTGCTTCAAAGAAAGAGAAGGGGGGGGGGGGTGGGGAGGGTGGGGTAG